AAAGAAGAAGAAAAATTAACAGGCACCATGCCTCCTCTCCAGCAGGCCTCCTCGCATGTCATTTATATGCTATATTTATGAATATATGCCCCAGGAGGCCTGCCGGAGAAGAGGCATGGTGCCTGGTAAGTTTTTATTTTAAGGTTTTTTTTGGGGGGGGGGGTATTCTCCTTGCTTCTCTGGGCTTTTGGAAGCCGGAAGATCAGGATGGATGTGGCGACTGACAGTCACAGGGTCTATACCCCAGGAAGGCCCAGGTCTAATGGGGTATCTAATTAATTCAGGACACTTTGTCCCAAATTAATCCTCTTTTACCTGAGGTGTTGTTTGGTTGCCTCAGGTAAAAGTCCAATGCAGCCCACATTTAGGGGCTTGTCTGGAAGGACCCCCAGTCTCTGATGGGAGACTGAAGGCATGAGGCTGAGTAGGACTCGATGAGAGGCATGGAGATGGAGGATGCCTACAGTGCTCAAATCATTACTCAATATGGAAGGACGCTGGGAAGGGGATTGGATTGAGAGAGAGAGTGGATGGAGGAAGAGTTGTGAGCGGATTTCCAGGACAGGCAGTGAGAGCAAGACTTGCGGGGGGGGGGGGGGGGGGGGGGAGTAGAGAGATGAGGAGAGATCTGCCAAAGTCCCGTGAGAATGCAAGGGGGTGTACTGGTTTCTAGCTTTATGCATGCTGGGAGGAAAAATAAATATCTATTGCCAACACAGTGAACTTTCAGAAATGCTTTTTTGTGGCTGCAGTGAGAGGAAAATGTGTGTATTTCAAAACCAATTTAAGTTCAGATTTAAACTGGTGAGTGTGGCATTCGTGTGGCATTAGTCCTATAATGTGTTATAAACAATACCTTAATAATGTATTGTCGAAGGCTCTCATGGCTGGCATCACTAGGTTCTTGTGGGGTTTTTCGGGCTATATGGCCATGTTCTAGAGGCATTTTCTCCTGACGTTTTGCCTGCATCTATGGCAAGCATCCTCAGAGGTAGTGAGGTCTGTTGGAATTAGGAAAATGGGTTTATATATCTGTGGAATGACTGGGGTGGGGCAAAGAGCTCTTCTCTGCTGGAGCTAGGTGTGAATGTTTCAACTGACCACCTTCATTAGCATTAGAAGGCCTGGCTGAGCCTGGGGAATCTTTTGTTGAGAGGTGTTAAGATGTGCCTGGTTGTTTCCTCTCTGCTGTTTTGCTGTTGTAATTTTTGAGTTTTTTAATACTGGTAGCCAGATTTTGTTCATTTTCATGGTCTCCTCCTTTCTGTTGAAATTGTCCACATGCTTGTGGATTTCAATGGCTTCTCTGTATTGTCTGACATGATGGTTGTTGGTGTGGTCCAGCATTTCTGTGTTCTCAAATAATATGCTGTGTCCAGGCTGGTTCATCAGGTGCTCTGCTATGGTTGACTTCTCTGGTTGAAGTAGTCTGCAGTGCCTTTCATGTTCCTTGATTCGTGTTTGGGCAATGCTGCGTTTGGTGGTCCCTATGTAGACTTGTCCACAGCTGCATGGTATACGGTAGACTCCTGCAGAAGTGAGAGGATCCCTCTTGTCCTTTGCTGAATGTAGCATTTGTTGGATTTTCTTAGTGGGTCTGTAGATAGTTTGTAGATTGTGTTTCTTCATCAGCTTCCCTATGCGGTCAGTGACTGAATAATGTTCATTGGATTTCTCATATGAATTCAGCCAAAGAGATTGCAAATGGGAATGTGCCCCATTTCACCTTTAGAAACAGAAGTAAGAAGGAAGCTAGCTCATGTAAACGAGAACACTGTGACATCAGCACCCAATAGACCAACTCACTTCCTCTTCCATCTTCTCTGTTTGAATATTTGGAAACTCCAAGCCACAAATGTCATTCCTTCACCTTTCAGCCATTCTCAATATATAAAGGCCTCTCCCTAAACTACAAACCCCATAATTCTGTAGGAGGCAGCAACTGGATTTAAAGTAGATTCATTCTCTAGTGTGATGAAGTGGTTTAAGTGTAACTTGTTTACACTTTTCTTACCAAAGTGTGACTAGCCAAAGTTGCCAATGGTGTTTGCAACACGTTCTGATTAAACTTTAATTTTTATCTTTGAGATGTCTCCATGATTCAAGTGTCATGATTGATTGCTTTGAGCTGGTGCAGTTAACAGTGTACACAAAAACTTACGTGTTAGACTTCCTAACAAGGTGTGAGCTGAGAAGTCTCATGAAATCTATTCCTTAAATTTAGATATTAAAATAATCTGAAACAGTGTATTTACTAGGCCTGGGTAACAACGCAAAAATTTGTTTCTAAAATCGATTCGTTTTGGGGGGTTTTTGCGTTTCGTTATTTAAAAGAATTACAAAATTTTCCTTTAAAAAAGTTCGGTATTTACGAAATTTCGTTATTATTAACGAATCGATTCGTTAAGATGGCGGACCCCCGCGCATGCGCAAATCACTTTTTTTCTTTTTTTAGAATATTTTTTGAATTTTTTAAGAATAAAAGAAATATTTATCAGAAATATTTAAAAATGGAAAATTAACAAAATGCTTGCCCTGTTGTGGAGCGAACACAGCCACAGGACAGGGACAAACACACACACAGGCACACAAGTTTTTTTTTCTTTTTTTAGAATATTTTTTGAATTTTTTTAAGAATAAAAGAAATATTTATCAGAAATATTTAAAAATGGAAAATTAACAAAATGCTTGCCCTGTTGTGGAGCGAACACAGCCACAGGACAGGGACAAACACACACACCGGCACACAAGTTTTTTTTCTTTTTTTAGAATATTTTTTGAATTTTTTAAAGAATAAAAGAAATATATTTATCAGAAATATTTAAAAATGGAAAATTAACAAAATGCTTGCCCTGCCCTGTTGTGGGGCGAAAACAGGGCAAAGCCTCCCCGCTGCTCCCAGCCCAGGTCCTTAAACCGCCCTCGCTCTCCCAACAATGAATGTGAATGAATGAATGAATGCAAGCAATGAATGAATGCAAGCAAGCCAAGCCTCCCTCCCGCACCTCCCGTCTCCTCGCCTTCGCAATGAGTAATGCGGCCACGCGGAGCCGCTTTTAAAGGGCAGCCCGCCCAATCACAATGAGCCACAGTGCTTGGGAGCGCCGGATTGGCTCCCGGCGCACCCAGCATCCTCCATCCCTAAAACGTCATTTCCGAAATGGGCGGAAGCTCGTAAAAAAGATGGAGGATGCCGTTTCGATATTTAAAAACACTTCCGGGTTTGAAAATAAGTTTTGTAATCATTTTGTAATTGTTAAAAATAACGAATATTTAACGAATTACAAAATTAACGAACGAAACCGCCCAGGCCTAGTATTTACCACTGCTGTGCGTACATACATGGACTACAGCCTGTATGTAAATTTCACTATTTACATGCAGAAATAAACTTGCAAATCACAAAAATACTGAAATGAGCATTTCTGACATGTATTTTCATTTCATTTTGAATTCTTTCTGTCTGCTCCACAGCACCAAATCCATAAACCAGTGCATTTCTTCACAAGTTAACTTAATCTAAATTCTACAGACACAATGCATTGTACAAAACTAACACTTCAAAAGTCAAAATCGCCCAGAAGGGAAACATTGGTCTCATTGTTTTTTCTTCTTCTCTAGCATAAATTCCTACAGATAAGAAATATGCAACTTTCTATATTGTAAACCTGCTTTGTGCATAAAGTAATAGCTGAAGTTTCATTATCTAGCCTCAGTACGCTGTTCGGGGGGCAGTAAATGGTAATATGCATGAAATCTGTTCCCTGTTTCAGCCAGCAAGAACAAGTGCATTCAAAATAGGATTTCTTCCCAAAGTTTTCTCCCATGCTAGTTGAAGGCAACAAAATTAGTGTCAGAGGTGGCTTGTGGATCTGTTTCTGCAAAGCAGTGAATCCCATCATGATTTTAATGTGTCTCCTGTCATAGCTGTTCCAAGTTGTACAGAAGATTTGCAAGTGCCAAACATCTGAAAAAACAGTCCAGCATAGCATGGGTGCCTATTAACTTTGGAACAGGAAGAATAGCAAAATGCAAATTTTAATGGGAAATCTAGAAATGCATAAGTGGGGAGAATGTGTTGTTGTAGGTTTTTTTAGGCTGTATGGCCATGGTCTAGAGGCATTCTCTCCTGACGTTTCGCCTGCATCTATGGCAAGCATCCTCAGAGGTTGTGAGGTCTGTTGGAACTAGGAAAATGGGTTTATATATCTGTGGAATGACCAGGGTGAGACAAAGGACTCTTGTCTGCTGGAGCTAGGTGTGAATGTTTCAACTGACCACCTTGATTAGCATACAATGGGCTGACTGTGCCCGGAGCAAACTTTTGTTGAGACGTAATTAGATGTCCCTGCCTGCTTCCTCTCTGTTGTTGTGCTGTTGCAATTTTAGAATTTTTAAATACTGGTAGCCAGATTTTGTTCATTTTCATGGTTTCCTCCTTTCTGTTGAAATTGTCCACATGCTTGTGTATTTCAATGGCTTCTCTGTGTAGTCTGACATGGTGGTTGTGAGAGTGGTCCAGCATGGGGAGAACGTGTTTGTATATAGTTAAGTTTTCATATAGATTTTTTAAAAGATGTAGTATAGTTAAGAAACAGAATACTATATTTATGTGTATCTACAAAATGGATACAAACCAGATGCACCCACCACCTTATCACTTAAATGATATGTTGAACACATATTGTTATTCTAAAACCCAGAGGCAATTTTTAAAAACTAAAAAAAAATGTTTGAATGGCTGTTTATAATAAAAAAACATTTCTAGAAGTTATGGGCTAGGCTTTCATGTCTCCTTTAAACCATTGTATTTCTGGTTACACAAATACAAATATAACAAATAAAATTAGGGAGAACAGTGGTGATCTAATGTTGCTGGAAAAAATGAAATATAGATATTTGTGTTAAAACGGTGGTTGGGAAAATGTAATGTACTTTATTACCTATGAAGTCCTGTATATATCTAATAATGTCAGCTGTTTGCTTTTTTCCATTTGCAGCTGGAGTGGATACATTCACACGCTTCCTAAGAAGTGAGTTTAGTGAAGAGAACATTGAGTTTTGGATGGCATGTGAAGATTACAAGAAATGTAAAGATGCTTCTCAACTTTCAGGCAAAGCACAGACAATTTATGAAACATTTATTGAAAAAGAAGCACCAAAAGAGGTACAGTGAACAAGGTCCTATTTATACAATCGGTTTTCTATTCATTTGTGCAGAGGAAGTCAACAGGCATACTTGGGAAAATATTCCATCAAACATGGTGAGAATAATCCTGAACAAATGTGCTTAACAATACACAACTTGAACTTGTCTAATAGGTGCCCACATTTTGAAAACATACCAGGAAAATTATGGCACAGATTCCCTCAACAATATCAAAGGAAAGGAGAAATGTAATTTATCTGCCTCAGAACATTATCTGTCCATATTTGATGCTAATATCTAGAATTACTCCATCAGTCTGCTAAAATAATAATTACAGGCACAATTACTATTACATTCAAGCTATTACTATTACATTGGCAAGATTTCAGATAATGAACCAAATGAATAAAACAAATCACCAGTTAAAACATTCAGAGTAAAAAAAAAAATCATAATGCCTTAAGCAGCTAAAAAAGATTGATGACAGATTTGTTCCAAAATGCAATATTAAGCATGGCCTATTAGTGGCATATAACACACTTGATATATTGATCCAGGTTCTCATTTATATTCTACTAACAGAATTGCCATCATTATGTCAGATAGGGTTTGTGTGGACTATGAAGAAAAAGTCTGTATATAGTTTCACTGTTTTCTGTTCCTTGTGGAATCATTGATGGCCAAAACCTTGTTAGTGAGTTGCAATACTGAAAATCTAAATTACACAGTTGTAACCTAATTTTGGTCATCCAAGAATTTGGAATATAGTTAATAATAATAATAATAATAATAATAATAATAATAATAATATTAATCTCACCTCACTACCTCTGAGGATGCTTGCCATAGATGCAGGCGAAACGTCAGGAGAAATGCCTCTAGAACATGGCTCTATAGCCCGAAAAAACCCACAAGAACCTAGTGATTCCAGCCATGAAAGCCTTCGACAATAATAATAATAATAATAATAATAATAATAATAATAATAATAATACCATCTCCAAAGGGACTCAGGGCTGCTCACAGAAGTGCTTCCGGTTCCACATACAGACAATACATAATGTATTGCAACTAAAATCTCCCCTCCAAAAATCCCTCACTACCTTTAAGTTATATAGTACTCAAAACAGACATTTCCAACTTGTTGAAGAGAAAAGGGATTAGCAGATATGAATCCAGCTATTTTCCTGCAGATGCACATGGATCTGGGACTCCCTGAAGATCCCTTAGAGACCCCATCAGATGCTTGTTGCTACTCATCCAGCTACAGGAAAATAGCAGGACACAACTCCACTGATTCTCTTACCATCCAACAATGAGATGGATGTGTTGACACAGATAAATCACTTTACGGTTTTCACCCAATCCACCATGTGTTTGCCTGCACTCGTACATGAATCCTGTGGGGAAATTGTACTCTCTTAGGCATCATTTTCCTCTAAAAGGATGTAAGGTGGTAGCTTCCTTCCATCAGCTGTAATGGCAAGCATTATGATGCACTGCAATCTCTCATGACCACTAGTTCCCATGGTGACAATGGATGACTCTTTTGATGCAATAGTGCTATTTCAGAGCATATCAAAGGACACAGAGGTATGATTAGCATTAGTGGATAGGTGGGCAAGCAAGTGATTGAGTGAGCAAGTGAGTGAAGCACTGGGTGGATGGGTGGTGAGTCAATAGGCACTTAAAGTGGAGAAGCTGACAAAATCAAGGTTGCAACTATTATGCGAAGAATTTGAAAATACTGAAACTGGGATCCAAAAAGTGGTGATCTGTTATGTGATGAAATATGGTAAATCTTAGAAAACTCCATCAATAATCTTTTTTGCTGTTCCCATATCCCTTAATTTTTTTCTAGGTTAACCTTGACTTTAACACCAAAGTGTGTACCAGTGAGAATATGAGCCATCCAACACTGAACACCTTTGATGCTGCACAGAATAAAATCTATGCCCTGATGGAACAGGACAGTTACCCACGTTTCCTGAAGTCTGACCTTTACTTAGATCTGGTCCATGGCCAACCACACGGCCGTTCTGCTCTTAGAAGGAGATCACGCTCTTTTACCTTCAATGAATTCAAAGATGTTCAACCAGATTTTGGAATCTGGATGTAAATAAATATATATTACATAACTTTTTGATGATAAGACATTACAGAGGATCATCACCACAGGTGGCTCTATGTGAGTGTAACTTCGCCAGATCCCATGGGTGATCAGATCCAATGGATTTTTATTCTCAGGTTCATCCATTTCCCAGGAATCTGTGACAATGGCCTCAAGTGATGAGTTACCTGGTAAAGATGGCACTGTCATTTAATAACAAAGTGATATTCACTCAGACACAATGTTTCTAAAGTGTATGTGTATCTTTTCATGCCATGTACAAAATCTAAATAAAAGGTGATATATTAATCTACAGCCTTATACTCGGGGTACACCTACAATGTAAAATTACTGCAGTTTCACCAATTTTATTGTCATAGTTCAATGTTATGGAATCATGGAAGCTGTAATTTTACAACCACAAATCCCATGTTACCATAGTAATGAGCCATGACAGTCAATGAAGTCAAACACTAATAATTCTACAGTGTAGATATGCCCTTAGTTAGCAGGGAATAAGAATCTTTGAACTCAATGTGTTTTACATCTAAGCAGGCAAGGGCAGGGCATGTGCATTGATATCGAAGGTCTCAGATTGAGTCCATGGCATTCTTGTGCATGTCAGAAAAATACCCTTTCTTTAAAAAAGGACATTATCATCTATTATTTCCAAATAAACTAAGTTAGATGGATCAATAGTCTGATTTAACATAAGACAGCACCTGTATACATACATATCTTTCCATTCTATCAGCTAGCAGTTTGTCCTTCTATGCCTATTATAACTTGATTAATTAATTATTTATTTGTTGATTCATGTGCAAAACATTCATCTATTCTTCTCAAAGCAAAATAAAAAAAACATATATGCATCCTGCATAAGCAGACTTGGTTTATAATCAGCAGTAAATTATGATGCAATCCCATGATTGGGTGCAAAGCCCATTGCACACAGTAAATATGGTTGCGATTGTGCTTGCAATAGTTGTGAATGGTTGTGAAGTGGCTTTCCCCTTGGACTTTGTGGACTTTGATTATTTGTTGGAGTGTTTAAACTATGCCTTCATCTATGTTCAACCTGTACAATTATAAATAAAAATCAATATAACTATTATTTGGAAAAATCACAATTAAAATTTTATTTTTAAAAATCAATATAACAAAATGCTACCTATTTCCAGTGACCTTTTCAAACAAGTGAGAGAGCAGAAATACACTCTAATGCTCTGGAACAGTTCCCTTTAAAAAGCTCCTTTCTGCATTTTTTCAGCTGCCCAAATATTGTGTTTGCTGTGGAAGAACACATTTGCTGGTGTTAACTGGGCTAAAAGTAGCTCACCTTGGGATAAAGGGCAGTCCCATCAGGCCTAAGGGTGGAGTGGATTGCGGCATCCCTTGTCAGTATCCCAGTTGACCAAAACCAGAGATTGGGTCTGCACTGTCAAATAATGCATTATATTGCCCTTCCACAAACACTAGTATCACCTTTCGTCCATGTCCCAGCATTATTTCCAATTTTAACTCTACATTTGGCCTTCCCACTGTTTTTAATTGTGTGTTGTCTTATTGATAATGTTGTTTTTTTATTGTTTTTGTTTTTAATTGCTTGTATTGTTGTTATTATTGCTTGTATTGTTGTGTTTGAGCTCGGTCTCATGTAAGCCGCACCGAGTCCCTTGGGGAGATGGTAGCGGGGTACAAATAAAGTATTATTATTATTATTATTATTATTATTATTATTATTATTATTATTATTATTATTAGATCCAGCCAGAGTACCACTGGGGGAAACTCCAGTCTACCACCTGCTGCTTTATTCACAGTGGAGCTGTAAAATAAAATGTAATGACGAGTAAGGCCTTGACTGAAAATAGGAGAAATTCCAGGCTTTCATGGTTGGAATCACTGGGTTGCTGTAGGTGATGTTTTGCTTGCATCTATGGCAGGCATCCTCAGAGGTTCCCTGCCATAGATGCAGGTGAAATGTCAAGAGAGAATTCTTCTAGAACATGGCCATACCGCCCGAAAAAACTTACAACAATCCATACTGTCTGTTTGGTTGAACATTTTTGCCTTCACACTCACAATGTGAGAAACATTGTGGCTATATTTGTGTGTGTGTGTGTGCGTGTGTGTGGAGTGCCAACATTGGCAGCATTGGAATGGAAGCATTTGTTCCATGTTGCACCACTGATAATCCAGCCATGGATGACCATATCAAAACAGTAACTATTGAGGTGGTGAACTGTTCCCTTCTCTTTAAGCATCAGCCTTTGCCTGCAAAGTGGGCTCCAAAGACAGTGACACCCCCCCCCAGAGAATACACACTAGCCATTTATTTATACCATGAAAACTAACAACATTGAGAAATTTCCCAGTCATAGGACACTTCAACCTCTATTCAAGCATGGAGAGGCCCTGAGCTCATCACATGAGTTAAACTACCTAAGGCTGTCATGCATAGCCCTCTGTGGTTGAAAAGGGGCAGAAGTGTTCTGAAAGGAGGGAACTCTGGCAGTCGACCTTATCACATTGAGAAATTTCTTCCTTGTAGGACACCCTAGCTTCTTTTCAAGCATGGAGAGGCATGAAACTCACCTCATGTTTCAGGGTTGAAAAAAAAATTAGAAATGTCCTGAAAGGAGGGAACTCTGTACACGTACCAGCAATCATGTTCAGAGCTAGGTTCTTGTGGTTTTTTTCGGGCTATAGGGCCATGTTCTAGAGGCATTTTCTCCTGACGTTTCGCCTGCATCTATGGCAAGCATCCTCAGAGGTAGTGAGGATGCTTGCCATAGATGCAGGCGAAATGTCAGGAAAAATGCCTCTAGAACATGGCCCTATAGCCCGAAAAAAACCACAAGAACCTAGTGATACCAGCCATAAAAGCCTTCAACAATACATGTTCAGAGCTCCTACCTAATATTCAGAGGTGGCCCTAGGTAATTTTCAACTGTAAGCAAGCAATATTTTGGTGCCCCTTCCCCCCCCCAACCAATCTGATATATATTTTCTGTTTTTTGTGGGAGTTCTGTGTGCCATATTTGGTTCAATTCCATCATTGGTGGAGTTCAGAATGCTCTTTGATTGTAGGTGAACTATACATCCCAGTAACTACAACTCACATATGTCAAGGTCTATTTTCCCCCAAGAGTGCTTCAAAAGCGCCCCTGGGCCAAATCAACTATACCGCTAATGCTTACTTTGCGTAATGGGTTGAGCCGCCCCTGCTCTTATTACAATTTACTCCCATGTTTACAACTGAAAAACAGGTAATGCTTTTAACCTGGATCACTTCCTCTTGTATCCTATGGACTATGATGCAGAACCATAGGATCCCAAGGAAAGCAATGGCTTTAACCTGGATCACCGTCTCTTGTATCCTATGAGATTTGATGCAGAACCATAGGTTCCCATGGAAAGCATAGAATTGTTTTAATCTGTTACCAGTCTCCTTAATTTAAGGAGCTTTGGGCAGGGCAAGGGATCTCTTGGTTTTTGAATGTTGTTGTTTCTCCTGATTAATAACAAAAAAATACTGACCTTGTGATGAATGTAAAATGAATGTATTGCCAGCTTTTAAGTTTTCACACGTGAGTTTGAGTGTGATGTAAAGGCAGAACATGAAATGGGACTGCTGACGGTATGAGAGGGGCGATTTTCTATTCTTAACAGGACGGTCACCATGCTTTCCCCTCTCAATGTGATGAAGTGGTAAGAAAACATGCTTGACCCAACATTCAAACTTAAGCTAAAACTTTCTCTTTTCCTCTGTTTAGTTTCAGTACTTACACATGGCCACAGGGAGAGGGCATCATCACCCAATCATCTTCCCAGAATAGGAAATCTCCAATACCAAGTCCCAGAAGCACTTTATTAGAACTAAGATTGCCGCACACTGCACACTGCACTTGCCCTATAAGCCTTACATATCACCTGTCACATCAGCACTTTTAATTCTGTACCCTTCACTCTGGCCCGGCCCAGTTTTATTGTGTTTTGGTGTATTGTTTATTGCTTGTTGTTGGGTTGTTTTAATATTGCTTTAATTGTTTTAATTCGCTTTAGGTGTATTGTTATGTTGTATATTGAGGCCTTGGCCTTTGTAAACCGCATCGAGTCCTTCAAGAGATGCTAGCGGGGTACAAATAAAGATAATAATAATAATAATAATAATAATAATAATAATAATAATAATAATTAGTCACCCCATACCTCCCCAATATTTGTTTGCTACAGTCCCTAAATTTCTTCAATGCAGAGATTAAGACATTGGAAATAATTCACACCTAGAACTCTTCTATTGGACAACCCAGATTACGCTTGAAGAATACAAGATTAATTGTGAAGATGTTGCCTTAAATGTTTTTAATTATTCCAATGTAATTTATAATTCTATTTAAATGTTTATTTTAATTGTACATTGTTTTATGGCATCAAATAGTTGCCTGTGTGTAAGCTGCTTGAGTCCCCTCCGGGGTGGAGAAAGGCAGGGTAGAATTGTTGTAAATAAATGGCCCTCAACTATGGAATAGGATCACCTCCCTCCCTTCTAACATTCTGCAAGACGGTTAAGACCTGGTTTTTCGAACAGTCTTTTACTACTGGAGAATAATTAGATGAAAATGAATCATGGAATGTCTGATGATGCAATTGGATCACAATTTCAGTAAGGAGACGTTGAGGATTTGTTTTTATAGATATTATTGTTTTTTTTATATTTTTAATGTTGAACTGTTTTTATAACTGTTTTATATATTTTTTTAAACTGTACCCTGATATTTGTTATGGAATCGGATTGCTGCCTACTGTGAACTGCCTTGAGTCGCCTCTGGCTGAGAAAGGCAGTATACAAATGCAGTAAACAAACAAACAAACAAATAAATAAAATTCCATTTGCTGTGTCGGGGCTCCCTTTGTAACTTTACCTTTCTTTTCACTTTGGTTACCTAAAATGTATTTCTAAATGCTAAACAGAAGTTTTAATATAATGAAAGAATATTAGGAGGTAGAATTCTTATAAGGGGGGGGGGGGCAATGTTCCCATTTTCTCCCTTCCCTGTGAGTACCTGTAACGGGGGGGGGGGGAGTATGTAGGACCTTATCACATTAGGAAATATTCCATTTCTGAGACTGTTTCAGAATAGTTTTGAGTGGGTCCCACATCACATGAATTTTATCCCACCTTGTCAGTATTCTGTCAGAGTCCATATGCAAAGTGTTGCAAAAATGGATTATTTGCAGATGGAATTTTGAAATACTACAGATTCTTCCATTTCTGAAAAGCTGTTTTTGTGTGTGATAGGAAAATCTGTATGCCTCCTATCTGCAACAATACTTTTTAAAAAGTCATAGAGTGATGCAGAGAGTGTTTTGAATGGATTACGAGGAGCCAGCCTTGTGTGATGTGATGAGTCAAAGTGCAGCAATTTGAAATCATAAGAATCTTAATAATCAAGTGGGATGAGGAGAGTATCCTGTCTAAATACAGTATGAATCTAGTCCTAAAAAAATACGGGGTGCCTACTGATATAAACAGATTATATCCCAATGTGATAAGGTCCATACTCTCTCTCATATCTCCCTTCACTTTTCAAAAATGCTATTCTCCTTTCTTCAATCCCACTGTCAGACTCTTCATTTTAGCTGCACCACATCATTATCAACTATGCAAAAAAAGACATTGACAAACTGGAACATATCCAGAGGAGGGTGACCGAAATAGTAAAAGGTAAAGAAATCATATGTTATGAAAAGTGGTTTAGGGAGTTGTGTATGTTTAGCCTGGAGAAGAGAAAGTTAAGAAGTAACATAATAGTTATGTTTAAATATCTGAAAGGAGACCATATTGATCAGTGAGCAAGTTTACTTTCTACTTGTGTGCCAGCTGCGCCCGTACCTTGGGAAGTCTGACTTGACCACGGTGGTACATGCTCTGGTTACATCCCGTATAGACTACTGCAACGCGCTCTACGTGGGGTTGCCTCTGAAGACTGCCTGGAAGTTACAACTAGTACAACGAGCGGCAGCCAGATTACTAACGGGAGCGGGGTACAGGGAGCATACTACTCCTCTGTTGTGCCAGCTCTACTGGCTGCCAATCAGCTTC